TATCTGTGGAATGACCAGGGTGGGACAAAGGACTCTTGTCTGCTGGAGCTAGGTGTGAATATTAGGCCATTATATACATTTACTGCTGTTATTGTGCACTATTCTGTAATTATTTTTGATGTGTTTGTACTTATTTGAGGCATGGAATGTTTGCCATTTTTGTGTGTGTAAACTGCCCTGAGTCCCTTCGTTTGGGTGGTCTAGAAATAAATTTTATTACAGTATTCCTGCTATTAAAGTTTTTAAACCAAGGAGTTGATAATTCTTTGTGTGATACAGTCTTAGCCCAAAAAAAGCTGTAAACTTGTAGAATACAATTTCTCCAAAATGCAGCCTGCCTGGAAAGGTGGTTAATGATTGTTCAGGGACAATCATGCTATAGAAATCAATCATTCCTTTCCATCTTACCATGTGACTGTCAGAGGATTGGACTGGCACTTGGAAAACCTCTACTTTCTGATGGTTCAATTTACACAAACTTTGTTTCATACATATTTTTAAAAGAAAAAAATATTGTGTGAAAAGTAACTTCAGGCTTCAAAGGCAAGCCATACTCTTCTACGCAACTGAAAATTTCTGTGTCTTGGGGCTGGACTCTGCTTGTTGTAAGCAGAATGCACAAGGCTGCCAAATAGTGTGATTTAGATGGAAGAAAAAAAAATAGCCTGCCCAACAGCTCCATCTGCTGTCCCTTTCTTTGAGTTGTATTTGCTGAAGGACATATCTAGGTCCTATGAACTTGTAGAATCATAGAGGTTGAAGAGACCCCAAAAGTCACCCCACATTCAACCCCATTTTTATTTTATTTATTTATTTGACTTGTATACTGCTACTAATTTGGCTCGGAGCGGTTTACAGCAGTAGATTAAAACAATACAATTAACTTTAAAATACAGTAAAACAAGAACAGACATCGTCCCGAGTTATTCACCCATCGAAAGCTTGTTGGAAGAGAAAGGTTTTACAGGCTCTCCGAAAAGCAAGTAGGTCTCGGATAGTTCGGGTTTCAACTGGCAAGGCATTCCATAAATAAGGGGCTACAACCGAGAAGGCTCTCTGCCTAGTAGAGGACAGGTGATAAGTCCGGATGTTGGGGACTTCAAGCAAATTTTGGTCTTTGGACCAAAGTAATCTCTGGGGTTGGTAGGGGGATAAGCGGGCCCTCAGGTATGCTGGCCCCAGACCATATAAGGCCTTAAAGGTTAGTACCAGCACCTTGAAAGTAATCCTGTACTCAATCGGAAAGCCAGTGCAGCTGTTGTAGAATTGGGGTGATACGAAACCTCGCCGGCACCCCGGCAAGAAGACGAGCTGCCGCATTTTGCACCAGCTTCAGTTTCCGGATCACTGACAAAGGAAGGCCAATGTAGAGGGCGTTACAGTAGTCAAGCCTTGAGATGACTGTTGCCTGGATCACCATAGCCAGGTCATTCCTAGATAGGCACTGATGGAAATTTTCGGGTACAGAGTCCGGCCGGCCCTCCATCCTCAGAATGAGCTGAGTGTCATCAGCGTACTGGTGGCACTCAAGCCCAAAGCTCCGCACCAGTCGGGCAAGTGGTCGCACATAGAATACACAAAGAATACACAAAGCACTCTTGAGAGGTATAATCCATCCTCTCTATAAGAAAGAGACTCAAAGGCAGCATGAAGTTCTTGTTAATGTTTAGGTGGGATCTTTTTTCCTTTGCACAAGCAGAACTATAGACCTATCTAGTAGGAAAGAAAGAATGGCAGACTGTGGCTCCCTAGACTACCTTTATGCATGCATTTTGAATTTTACCTTTTGAGACTCAAGGGTAGGAAGAAAACAAATGATCTGTAGACACCATAAAGTGTAGTATATACATGTAATACAGTATAGAATTCCATCTTAAATCTGCTTCACTAATTTCAAAAGAGAATGTAGGTATAATAAAGTGTAGTATTTGAACAGGAGGTTGCGGTAGTGCTCTTTCCAACATAGCACAATTGATTTTTTTGTCCTTCAGAAGTTTGGTTCCATCTGATGACCCATTTAAGGTGAAATCAGGTGTCAAACAGGGATGTGTTATTGCTCCAACCTTATTTTCCATCTTCCTTACTATGATACTTCATCTTGTTGATGGGAAGCTTCCCACCGAAGTGGAAATCATCTATCGGACAGATGGCAAGCTATTTAACCTCAAGCAGACTGAAAGCCAAAGCCAAGGTCACAATGACATCTGTTATAGAACTGCAATATGCCAATGATAATGTAGTCTGTGTGCATTCTTAGTATATGAACAGAAAGGCTCAGTATATTATCAGTACATTTGTATATAAAGTGGAGTTCAGAAGTAAAAAAAATATTGAATTCTACACTAATGTGTACCACACCTGCCTTGACTGTAACGCTTGCTAAGGTAGACAAATGGACCTTATATATATGAAAGGAATTATTGCTTCTTAGTTCCTGGCATTTTGATAAGCAGAATTTTGTCTTAAATATGATTTGCTAATTTCAAAGGAGCAAATATTTAACTAAATATTTTCTGTATTTCTAGGTTCTTTGGGAGAAAAATGATATTTTTTCCTGAACCTCTCCAGTTTTTCTCCCTGATCTGCTTATGTATCTCATCCTTGCATATGTCTAAAATGAGATGGCTCTGACCATAACTGTTTTTCATTTTAGGAAGGGTTGAAACACAGTGGTAGAGCATTCACCATACATAAAGAATGTCTTGGGTTTTATCTTGTTTTAGGACTAGGTACGGTCCACCATAAATGGGAGTCCCCAGTGGCACAGTGGGTTAAACCGCTGAGCTGCTGAACTTGCTGACTGAAAGATTGGCAGTTCAAATCCGGGGAGTGAGGTGAGCTCCTGTTGTTAGCTCCAGCTTCTGCCAACCTAGCAGTTTGAAAATATGCAAATGTGAGTAGATCAATCGGTGTTGCACTTCAGGACAGGAATAACCCTCTGACTTTAAAACACCACACGCTGAATAGGAAAACAATCCTTTTTTTATTGAAGTTAAGTAAAACAGCCAGGTAAAAATATATGTTTAAAAAAAGCAGATAAGTCCCAATAAGGTAGGAAGATAAACAGGAACAAAGAAATCCAAGGCAGGGTTCAGCAAAGTACAAAGGCAAAACCCAGACTTTTGTAATCAAATCCAATAAGACAAAGAAGTCCAGCCATGAACAAATACCCTTAACATGAATCTTCCAAGCAAGGCTTCCATAGAACAAGTACTAGGTTTCTGAAACGATGCTTCATCTAACGGGTTTTTTCCCTGGTGCAAACTTTATATCCCAACACTCAGAAACTGGTTTCGCTTTCCTGACTCTCGCCCTTATCTCTCGAAGCCTAGAAGATTGACGGAAACCTTGACTAAGCTGTCTATTTTGGCTAAACTCCAACTGTCTATCTATGAGCTCATTATCTTGCTGCTCATTAATTCCTCCAGTTGTCAAGTTGTTTTCAAACCCCAAATCTTGGGAGCTCACTGGGTCAGGGAGTAAACCCTCACCCTCCTGCCCTGTAGGAACAGTCTCATGAGAAACTACCCTTTGAGCTGGTGTCCCTATGTCATTATTATCATTGACCAAACAATCTCCATCTTGAGCCTCAGTGCTATCATTTCCCACATCAGAAGCACCGTGATCCTGAAACACAAACACAGGCTGAACTCCAACAATAGGGACCGCTTCGGCAGGAAGGTAATGCCGCTCCATGCAGTCATTTATTTTATTTATTTCGTGTACTTCTACCCCACCCTTCTCAACCCCCGAAGGGGGACTCAGGGCGGCTTACAAAAGGCACAATTCGATGCCTGCACAATAATACAAATAAACCTATATAGACAGCAATTAAAACTGTTATAACAGTTAAAAACAATTAATATATATCACAGTCAATAAAACCAATCTCATGCTCAGTGTTCAGCAACTCAGAGTCCATAACTTCATTCCACATTGTCCATTCCTATCAGTTGTTGTTGTCCTTTATTTATCTGCCAGATTGCCCAAACGCCTGGTCCCAAATCCATGTTTTTAATTTCCTTCTAAAGGAAAGGAGGGCTGTTGATGATCTAATTTCCCCGGGGAGTGAGTTCCATAGGTGAGGGGCCACTACCGAGAAGGCCCTGCTCCTCGTCCCTCCCAATCTCACTTGTGATAGAGGCGGGGCTGAGAGCAGGGCCTCCCCAGAAGATCTTAAACTCCGAGGTGGGATGTAGAGGGAGATGCGTTCGGACAGATACGCTGGGCCGGAACTGTGTAGGGTTTTGTAGGTCAAAACCAGCACTTTGAATTGTGCTCGGAACTGGATCGGCAGCCAGTGGAGCTGACATAGCAGAGGGGTGGTATGCTCCCTGTATGACGCTCCGGTGAGTAATCTAGCTGCCTCCCGCTGGACTAATTGAAGTTTCCGAACAGTCTTCAAAGGAAACCCCACGTAGAGCGTGTTGCAGTAATCTATTCGGGATGTAACAAGAGCGTGGACCACTGAGGCCAGATCCGACTTCCCAAGGTACGGGTGCAGCTGGCGCACAAGTTTTAATTGTGCAAAAGCTCTCCCGGCCACCGCTGAGACCTGGGGTTCCAGGCTCAGCGATGAGTCCAGGATCACTCCCAAGCTGTGAGTGATCATGCCGGCCACATGACCTTGGAGGCATCTATGGACAACACTGGCTCATCGGCTTAAACATGGATATGAGCATCACCCCCCAGAGTTGGATACAACTAGACTTCCTTTACTGTCTACCATATAGAAGAACGTACAGTATATGATATAGATTTTTTTTGAAGGATGGTAGCTCAGTGGGAGAACACAGATCATGCACATGGAAGGTTTCCTATTTTATCTTCTTTTAGGACTAGAAAAAAATCCTTCCTAAAGAACCCTAAACTGAGGCAAAAGAAATTTGAAACGGGGTAAAAAATCTTGAACTTGATGAACTAGCAGCCTGAGTCAACAGAAGGTAGTTTCATATGTCTTCCATAATATACTGTATACTCTTGTCTATGTTTTGCTACAGATTGACCACTTTGGGTTTTCTGAAGATCGCACTTTCAAACAACGTTACCTCATAGCTGAGCAGCATTGGAAGAGAGATGTTGGGTCAATCCTCTTCTATACTGGCAACGAAGGAGACATCACCTGGTTTGCTAATAATACGGTGAGTAGAGTTGTGGTCCTGAGAGTGGAAACAGTCTTGGCTTTCCGCCTCTGTACAACATCTAGAAATGCAATGCAAGTGTTTAATTGTCTTCATCTCTTCCTTGTCTTCAAAGTAAATTATTGATCTCTTCCAGGGTTTTATGTGGAATGTGGCTGAGGAACTTGATGCCATCCTAGTCTTTGCTGAACACCGGTACTATGGGGTGTCTCTGCCCTTTGGAAACAAATCATTCAGCGTAAGTATCTCCTCCCATTCAAATTATAATTGAGGAATTAAGAGTTTCATATTCAAGATGTCGTTTGAGAACTATTCACTTCCTGGGCCACGTATATCCTTGGAAGCCCAAAATTCAGAAAACCTCAAAGGCACGTTATTGGACAAAATAGCCACTGGGGGGCACAGTTTTACCCATAAATGCTGTTTAGGGGGCTCTTCACTCTAAAACCAGACAAGAATAGCATCTAAAGTTGACTAAATGTAATTGTCATTTACCAGAAAGGTCTCCTCCAGTTGCTGCAAAACATGCTGGTGCAGCTCTCTGTGGGTTGGTGGATACCAAAAAAGTACCTCCAATTCACAGCATATACTCATTCCTGCTCTAGAGGCAGGGTTCCCACCCAACTTTAATAGTTGTGTGGGAAAAGACATTTCGGCCAGTACTGCCAGTTGCAGGCAATCATTCTAGGGAGTTTCTCAAATAAATGTGGGCAGGGTTGCATTTGGTTGTCTTGTCTACAACATGACAGTTACAGGCATGAGTAGCTCTGGTACAGTTCTGCTCCTTTTCCATTAAAAGCAAATGGTTTTGTGGATCACTTTGAAAAGCCAGGGCTGCTGTAGTATAGATTTTGCTACTGCCTTTTTCCCGAATTCTTTGTCACTATTGCTTTTTCCCATGAGCCTCATGAAAAAGTAGCACTTTCATTCCTTGCGAATGAAGTGAGAGAGCCAATAGCCTCCTTCCACTCCACAAACAGCCTACAATCTCGTTTCAGGATGCCAAGCATCTGAATTACCTGAGTTCAGCGCAAGCTCTGGCTGATTTTGCAGTTCTTGTGCAGCACTTGAAAGCCACAATCCCTGGAGCCCAAGACACTCCTGTTATTGCCATAGGAGGATCCTATGGAGGGATGCTTGCAGCCTGGTTTCGCATGAAATACCCCCATATTGTGATTGGGTGAGTGCTGAAGGTATTTTCTAATCCTTTAATGCTCATGAATGGGTTGAACACAGATGTTTATTTATGGAATACTAGCTGGACTAGCCACGCATTGCTGTGGCCAACCTTCCCTCCCTCTTTCCTTCCTTCCCTTTTCTTCTTTCCTTCTCTCCTTCCTTCTTTCTCTTTCTTTCCTTCCCCCTTTTTCTTTCCCTTCCTCTTTCTCTCCTTTCTTCCTTCTCTACCTCCTTCCTTGCTCTCTTGCTTCCTTTCTTTCCGACATTTATATGATGCCCTTCTCACCCCAAAGGGGACTCAGAGCAGCTTACATCCTCTCTCTCTCTATATATATATATATATACACACACACAAACACACACAATATTATATTATTAGCATAGTACAAATATCAGTATTATATATTACTATATTATACTGTACCATTATATTGTAATATTATTAGTAATATTACATAATATAAAATATATAATTATAATATTGTATTATTGTTATTATTATTATTATATTTCTTTCTTTCTCCCTTTCCTTCCCTATCTCTTCCTCCCCTTTTTTTCTGTATCGTCATTTGTTTTTTTGGGGTTTTTAAGTCCTTTCCACTGTTATTTTTTTTGGGGGGGGGTTATGAGTGATGGTCACTCATTGGTCTGTTAGGGATACAGTGTCCAAATTTCGTGTCATTTCATCCAGTGGTTTTTGAGTTATGTTAATCCCACAAATGAACATTACATTTTTATTTATATAGATAGTGTTGGCTTGGAAGAAGATATTTCTCCTTGAACATGCAGTTGAACCAACTTTACAAAAATCTGAAATGGCACAATTGAACAATAAAAAGCAATGAGAAGCATAGAAACACATTAATAAGGGGAAGCTCCATTTCCAAGCACTTTTGGTCTTTATCTGATTTCAGTGCCCAAGGTATTATCATACCAGTAGAATATGTTTTGGAACGTGACTCGGAATATTTTGCACATGTTTGACTTCTCTTGAAATTACCTGGGATCTACAACACTACAAGACCTTTTTCTTCAACGTGGCTCCAACTCATTTAGACCTTATGGTCACTTTCTGACTTTTTCCTTGAGTGCAGGAAAAGATAGAATCATAGAGTTGGAAGAGACCTTGTAGGCTGTCCAAATCATTTAATGTCCTCCTTCTTAGGCTGGGGACTGGTCACTATCAAACATTCCCCAGGTTAGAGACCCAATAACAGAGAATATTAGGCAAAGAAGATGAGCAATACTCTTAATTTTAACATCCATAAAAATGAAATCTAAACTCAAATCAAATCAGAACCCGGACAAAGGTTTGTTATTCAGCTTTTTTTTTCATAAGTGCTCAATGAAAGTGCCATTTGCACAACAGATTGTAACACTATTGTAACACTTTAACTCCCATGGGTCTGTCTCATTGGATCCTGGAATTGGCCGTGTATGTTGCACTCCAGGCCTGGAAACATCTCTTGACCACAGCACCACACAAGAGTTAAGGAATACAAGCAAACAGTTTACTGTAAAAACACACACACACACATAAAAAGCATAAAAAGCAGGAATAAGAAATGTAATACAAAAAGGTTGAGCTAATGAAATGAAAAGTGATGGAGTCCATCCCATGATGCAGGGGAACTTCCTGTCAGTGCCCATCATGATTTGTTAGGGAAACATCAGAAATAGTGGTGTTTTATGATTTAATTGATAATTGTATGCTATTATCATTATGTTAGGCTTCTGTATGTGAGGCATTAAATTTTGCTATAATTATAGTTAAGCCACAGAGCCCCATGCCACCCATCACACAACGTAGCCTTACTTCCGATGGGGCTGCGTGGGTCAACTGGGGCAGAAGTGTTGTAAGAGAAGGAGATGGAGAGGAGAAAAATTAACAGATCTTTATACATGCTGACATCTGCTTGTTCATCTGCTTGTTCACTCATCTTCACTCGCTGGAAATTATATACCATCTTGTCTTTAATGTTTTTAGTGTAATTTTGAGAGTTTTAAGAGCTTGTCATGTTGTAAATGTTTGTGATGTATCATATATGTTTATTTAAGTTGTTATTTTATAATTTTATTGAGTCTGTTTTTACCCATTGTTTGATTTTTTTATTTGTTGTTTTGGCATTGAATGTTTGCCATTGTGTTTATTTTGCTGGAAACCACCCTAAATTCCCTTGGAGAGATAAGGAGGGTTATAAATAAAGTATTATTATTATTATTAGTAGTAGTAGTAGCAGTAGCAGTAGCAGTAGTATTCTGTGCCAAAATGGGAACCATTTGAAACAAAAGGAATTACTGCAGAGATGTTTGAATTATTCAGAGGCATCTACCTCACTGCACGTGGAGCTTTATGCAAATTAAGAAATATTTGGACAGACGAACAGGCCTGGAAACATCTCTTGACCACAGCACCACACAAGAGTTAAGGAATACAAGCAAACAGTTTACTGTAAAACACACACACACACACACACACATAAAAAGCATATAAAAAGCAGGAATAAGAAATGTAATACAAAAAGGTTTAGCAACAGGTATTAACCAAACAACAATCCAAATGTCTCATCAAGTTCCAGAGGTGATGAAGTCTAGGAACAGCCATAAATCACAGGCACAACATAAGTCCACAATCAAAAATGTATAACTAGTAAAACTTGTACAGGAGTACATGAACAAGAACCTAGAAAACTTCCAGGATAAATTAAACCCAAAATCAAGGCTTGACTTGAACTAGGAACAAGAGAACTCAGGCTTAGCTTCTCACTCTAATGCAGTGTTGCCTGAACTGCCCTTAAGGCAGTGTTTCTCAACCTGGGGGTCGGGACCCCTGAGGGGGTCGCGAAGAGGTGTCAGAGGGATTGCCAAAGACCATCAGAAAACACAGTATTTTCTGATAGTCATGGGGATTCCTTGTGGTAAGTTTGAGCCAATTCTATAGTTGGTGGAGTTCAGAATGTTCTTTGATTGTAGGTGAACTATAAATCCCAGATTACTGCAGATGCAGACTGTGGCCAGGAAATCAGAAGACGCTTACTTCTTGGGAGGAGAGCAATGTCCAATCTCGATAAAATAGTAAAGAGTAGAGACATCACTGGCAACAAAGATCCGCCTAGTCAAAGCCATGGTATTCCCTGTAGTAACCTACGGATGTGAGAGCTGGACCTTAGGGAAGGCTGAGCGAAGGAAGATCGATGCTTTTGAGCTGTGGTGTTGGAGGACAGTTCTGAGAGTGCCTTGGACTGCGAGAAGATCCAACCAGTCCATCCTCCAGGAAATAAAGCCCGACTGCTCACTGGAGGGAAAGATACTAGAGACAAAGTTGAAGTACTTTGGCCACATCATGAGGAGACAGGAAAGCCTAGAGAAGACAATTATGCTGGGGAAAGTGGAAGGCAAAAGGAAGAGGGGCCGACCAAGGGCAAGATGGATGGATGGCATCCTTGAAGTGACTGGACTGACCTTGAAGGAGCTGGGGGTGGTAACGGCCGACAGGGAGCTCTGGCGTGGGCTGGTCCATGAGGTCACGAAGAGTCGGAGACGACTGAACGAATGAACAACAACATAAATCCCAGCAACTACAACTCCCAAATGTCAAGGTCTATTTTCCCCAGACTCCACCAGTGTTCACATTTGCACATATTGAGTATTTCTGCCAAGTTTGGTCCAGATTCACCATTGCGTGAGTCCACAGTGCTTTCTGGATATAGGTGAACTACAACTCCCAAACTCAAGGTCAATGCCCACCAAACCCTTCCAGTGTCATGGGAGTTCTGTGTGGCAAATTAGGTTCAAATCCATCGCTGGTGGAGTTCAGAATGCTCTTTGATTATAGGTGAACTATAAATCCCAGCAACTACAACTCCCAAATTACAAAATCAATCCTCCTCCAACCTCACTAGCACTTACATGTGGGTGCATTGGGTATTTGTGCCCAGTTTGGTCCAGTGACTGAAAATACATCTTGCATATCTGATATTTACATTATGAGTAACAGTAGTAAAATGACTGCTATGAAGTAGCAACAAAAACAATGTTATGGTTGGGGGTCACCACAACATGAGGGACTGTATTAAGGGGTCACGGCATTAGGAAGGTTGAGAACCACTGCCTTAAGGTAAACAACTTGTTTAATAAACACCCATGAAAGCATTACCTCTCCCATGAATTTTTTTCCACAACTTTCCCATGTAATCTCTCAGATCGATGTACTCTTATTTTCGCCACTGATTTGTAAACGAAGACTTTTAGTGATCTCGCTAGCTACAGGTGGTTTCTGCTAGGAACCCTCCTTATCACTCAGCTCTTCATGCAATTCCTTATCTGCTGATGCTCCTTCTGGCTCCTCTGACTGGCTTTGAGGCCCTGCACTTTCCAAGCCAGTTTTTTCACAGAGAGAACCATCATTTCCCAGGCCTGAGCCCCCATCACTTTGTGCCACAGGAAAGCCCACAATCCTCTCTAAATCATCAAATAAACCATCAGCCTTTGGTGGCTGATCTACAACAGTCTAATGCCTCACCAAACTACAAACCCCAGAATTCCATAGACCGTTGTCTTCACAATTAAATTGGGGTTATAGCTATACATTTGCGTAGTGTGAATGGACTCCAGATCTCCCTGGTAACTGAATTTGTCTTTTCTTTCTCTGTGCGCAGAGCACTTGCAGCTTCGGCCCCTATCTGGCAGTTCGACAGCCTGGTTCCTTGCGGTACTTTTTACAGTATAGTGACCCAAGATTTCAAAAAGAGTGGGAACTGCTGTTCAGAAAGTATCAGGAACTCCTGGGCAGCCATTAACCGCCTGGCTTCCACAGGTAAGCATCCAGTGAAGATCGTACTAAAATTTTGGAGAAGGAAATGAGGTCATTTCTTTCTTTTGCTCTGCAGTACTCTCAGTTTCATACACAAGTCATTTGTACTGTATTTCTGATAGAATGGGGTTCACAAGAAGCTTGAGGACATTTAGACTGAGCTCACTGTTGAAGTCACACAAGGGGAATGGGTGGGGATCAGAATATTTGCAGCAAACACTATGGAAGATTTCACTTTTGGTGAGTTAAAAGTGAAGACCCCCACATTTGGTCACAGAAGTGGGATTGGCTGAGTGCAAAACCCCACAAGCAGTGGGATAAAAGGTGGAACACTCACATAGAGGGTTGAAAACCATCATTTGATGATCCCAGCAAAGGGATAGTAGGTTGAAACCCCCAAAATTGGTTTAGGCAGCAGTGAGATATGAACTGAAACCCTCGCCATTTATGCTTCAACACATCTAATTTCTGGGCAGACATATTTAGGAGAAATGCGCCTCCAAGTATCCAGGTCCTATGTCATTACCAGCATCTTGAATTAAGATCCGAAAGGGAAAGCTAAGTCAGTGCCACTCTCTGTTTTCTTTCTCCTCTTAGAGGAAGGCTTACACTGGCTCTCTTGCACGTTTCGCCTGTGCACGCCTCTGAAAACTGGGACAGATGCTGCTACCTTCAAAGGATGGCTAAGCGAGACCTGGGTTAACCTGGCTATGGTTGACTACCCCTATAAGGCTGACTTCTTGCAGCCTCTCCCAGCCTGGCCTATTCAGGTAAAAGGACGAAGCTTTCTTTGTCATTTTGCTTCCTTCCCTGTTCATTTGATGCTACTTTTTTCCAGGTTTGCCAAGGCCGGAGATATTATTTTTTCCGTCAGGAGCAACTTGAAAAACTTCAATGGATTAACCTATTGCGCCATTGCGCCAGCTGCAGCAATGGGTCAAACCCTTGTGCTGGCAAGATTGCTGACCGAAAGTTTGGCAGTTTGAATCTGGGGAGCGGGGTGAGCTCCCGTCTCTCAGCTCCAGCTTCCCATGTGGGGACATGAAAGAAGCATCAGTAGGATGATGATGGGCAACTCAGATAGCTTTGGTTTGGTTTGTTACACTTCAGCATTCATTATATCGACTACAGTTTATGGGAGCTGCAAACCATTATTTGGAGAATTGCATCTGATTCTTTAAAAGACCAAAACTAAATAATTTAAATGGACACAAAATGACTAATGGAAAAAGGCTTTATGACAGTCTTCCCATTGAATAAATCTTGTCAAGAAAACCACATGATCAGTTTGCCATTAAATCCAAAACTATTCAAAGGTAATTAATAGTAACAGGCATCAGTAAAAATGCCTGCATTTTGCAAAGTAGGGGAGCAGAATATCATGGCTATATGCAAGTCCCTGTTCTCATGTCTGCCAACTACATATGTGGGTGTGCTTTCATGTCACCAGCATCTTTAATGTCACCAGCATATTTCACCAGCAGCAATACATCTTGCCAATTGACAGGTTGGCAGTTTGAAGCCCAGGTTGGGGTGAGCACTTGACCTTCAGCCCAGCTTACTGCCCACCTAAGCCAGTGGTTTCCAACCTTTTTTTGTCGAGGGACCACTTGAGGAGGGTCCATTTGCCCAAGGACCACTCTCTAACATCAGTACCAAAAGGGTTACAAATCAGTTTTTGGTCCACTCTAGACTCGCTTTGGGGTGCTGATTCAGAAAATTACATTGGATAGACCACATCAGCTCTAGTTTCTGATACAGAACATATGCCATGGTCGTCGACAGGGAAGGAGTGCAAAAGCAGCGGAAATAAAGTATATTAAATAAATAAATAAAGAGGAAGGAGGTTTGCGGACCAGATTTTCGTCCTCATGGCCCACTGGTGGTCCACAACCCACAGGTTAAGAACCAGTGACCTAAGCAGTTCAAAAACAGCTTGGAGTAGAGAAATTTGGCACCACTTAAGCAAGGAAGTATTTTACGGCACCATAAAATAAATACCAGAAAAATGTCGACAGTCAAAGGAAGGAGGAAGTCTGTGATCAAGGCGACAGCACCTCCCTGTGGCCGGAATCAAGCACAACCTCCCAGACGCCAGAGCTGACATAATACCTCTATCTGTTGTCTGTCCTGTCTGTTTAATGGCACTGAATGTTTGTCGTGTATATGTTTATATTCCACCCTTCTGGAGGTGAGAAGGGCGGAATATAAATGCTGTAAATAAATGTCATGTTAACTTGTGATGAACTCATGAATTTCATGGGGATTTTCTTAGGGAATGAATATTTATTTACTTATTTGTTTATTTCATATACACAAGGGGGACTCAGCGCGGCCTCACATGAGCATCAGAGGATGCTAACAGCATAAATACCATAAAAATTACAATTTACAATAAAATCATTTTAAAACATTATACAACATCATCAGGAAAATTTAACAATAAATTAATAGATTAATGTGCCAATAAAAACCAAGCTGAGCTGGGATAATCCATATCGCAAAATCCAAATTTCCTTTTCCTGTTGCCGTTGGCCTCTAATCGAACGCCTGGCCCCAGAGCCAGGTCTTCAGCTGTCTTCTAAAGGACAGGAGGGAGATGGCCAACCTGAAATCCTTAGGGAGAGAGTTCCACAGACGGGGGGGGGGGGGGGGGGGGGGCACTGCCGAGAAGGCCCTGTCTCTCGTCCCCACCAACCGCGTTTGCGACAGTGGTGGGATTGAGAGCAGGGCCTCTCCTGATGATCTTAAGCTTCATGATGGTTCATAGCAGGAGATACATTTGGACAGGTAATCTGGGTGAGAACCGTTCAGGACTTTGAAGGTTAAAACCAGCACTTTGAATTGTGCCCGGAAGCTAAGCAGCAGCCAGTGGAGCTGGCGCAACAGTGGTACACTCCCTGTACGCAGCTCCAGTTCACAACCTTGCCGCCAACCACTGGACTTATTGGAGTTTCCGAGAAGTTTTCAAAGGCAGCCCCACATAGTGAGCGTTGCAGTAGTCTATTCCTTTCTTTGAAATATAGCTTACATCTATTCTCACACCTATCTTTTGACTAACCATGAGCACCTCTGACTTGTCTGGATTAAGCTTCAGTTTCTTCAACTTTTATTTTTAAATCAAAGTTCAGAAGTGTCCAGGGACAAACTTAAGGGAAGAGGTCCTTCTTTAGGTATCGCCTCTCCACATTATTTAGGGCTCTACGTTGAATTTTACCATGGGCAACACAGAAGACTAGCTTTTTGAGGCTTAAAAACCCTTTTCTATGTTTCTGTGTTGAGTGTGTGCCCTTTCATGCTGGCTTCTTAAGGCCTAATAAGGGAGCCTCTGAATTTTTGTGGCTGGAAACCTAAGAGTGGTGTGACTGTCCTTAAGAGCCTTTGACAAGATACTCCAAACCAGTGACCCCTGAAAGTGAGATAGGGCCTTTTTTCCTTTGCAAATCCTGTTTTTAAAGGTATGCAATCTCTCTGGGTGGCGTAAGCTTGTTCCATAGAGGGGGCTTTGGGGACAAAGCCATAATGTGATTATCCTGAGAGGTGTATTGAGAGCTTTGGGGATCGAATCCATTCAGATGGCTGAATGTATCTGCTTAATCCTCTTCTTTAGGATTTTTTTTTTAGGTGGGGAAGGAAGGCAGGGTTGTATGGTCCCTTTTAGGAAGCAGAGGCTTTTCTCTTTGCTCTCCGCATTCCTCTTCTACTCTGCTGCCTCTTAAAACAAGTCTTTAACTTCCATATGGTGCATCTGTGCCCGCAAAGGAGCTTTCGGAGATCCTTGGTCTTCCAGCCGAGAAGTTGCTCAGTGGGCTGGAAAAGGCTAGAAGTCGTCTTAATAAGTGATTAACTTTTTTCCTCATTCATGGAGGACACAGAACTCAAAAGCACATTGGCTTCTATGGAAGCCTCGCTGTGTCTCCCTAAGGGTGCATCTCCAATACAGAATTAATGCAGTTTGAGATCACTTTTAACAGTCATGGCTCAATGTTATGAAATCCTGCATTTTGTAGTTTGGTGAGACTGTAGCATTGACTCTAGCATTTGGTGAGACTCAGACCTCACTACCTCTGAGGATGCTTGCCATAGATGCAGGCGAAACGTCAGGAGAAATGCCTCTAGAACATGGCCCTATAGCCCGAAAAAACCCACAAGAACCTAGACTCTAGCATTCTTTGGCAGAGAAGTCTAAAGACCTTGCAAAACTACAACTCTCACAGTTCCATAGCATGGAGCCATGGCAGTTAAAGCGGTTTCAAACTGCATTAATTTTACAGTTTAGATTTTTATTTTTTATTTATCATGTCAGGAGCAAACCAAATGAGGAGAAGTGGGCAACAAACAACAACAACAACAATCCAGCATATATATCTCGTTTGCTGTGATATACTGTGTTTTTGTGTCAGTAAAATAATAATAATTATCATCATCATCATCATCATAATGCCCAAATGTGAACACTGGTGGAGTCCCTTGACATTTGGGAGTTGGGAATGCTCTAACAATTATTTATTGGACCAAATTTGGCACAAATTTTGTCATTTGGGAGTTGTAGTTGCTGGGATTTAGAGTTCACCTACAATCAAAGAGCATTCTGAACTCCACCAATGATGATATTCAACCAAACTTAGCACACAGAACTCCCATGACCAACAAAATACTGGAAGGGTTTGGTGGGCATTGACTTTGAGTTTTGGAGTTGTAGTTCACCTGCATCCAGAGAGCACTGTGGACTCAAACAATGATGGATCTGGACCAAACTTGGCACAAATACTCAATATGCCAAAATGTGAACACTGGTGGAGTCCCTTGACATTTGGGAGTTGGGAATGCTCTTACAATCATTCATTGGACCAAATTTGGCACAAATTTTGTCATTTGGGAGTTGTAGTTGCTGGGATTTATAGTTGACCTACAATCAAAGAGCATTCCAAACCTCACCAACAGTGGAAAAGACCCAACTTAGCACATGGAACTCCCATGACCAACAAAATACTGGAAGGGTTTGGTGGGCATTGATCTTGAGTTTTGGAGTTGTAGTTCACCTACATCCAGAGAGCACTGTGGACTCAAACAATGATGGATCTTGATCAAACTTGTCACGACTACTCAATATGCCCAAATGTGAAAACTGGTGGAGTTTGGGGAAAATAGCCCATGACATTTGGGAGTTGTCGTTGCTGGGATTTATAGTTCACCTACAATAAAGAGCATTCTGAACCCCACCAATGATAGAATTGAGCAAACCTTCCCACACAGAACCCCCATGACCAACAAAATACACTCTGTTTTCTGATTATCTTTGGAGACCCCCCTACGACACCCCCCCCCCCCAGGGATTCCGACCTCCAAGTTGAGAAACGCTGGTCTACACTGAGATTGCTGTCCACCATGACTCCATTAGTCTGCAGACTTAGTTTATTGTGGATTTGTTGTTTCCATTTAAACCCTGCTTCCTTTTTCTTTTTATTTGTAGGCAGTTTGTAAATACTTGAAAAATCCCAAACTGCCAGACAAATTGCTGCTTCAGAATATTTTCCAGGCAGTAAATGTCTACTACAACTACACAGGACATGCATCATGCCTGAACTTAACTCAGACTGCCACAAAAAGCCTTGGGATTCAAGGCTGGTATTATCAGGTCAGTGTCTACCACCATCACCCTTGGAACCCAATGGCAAAAACTAGAGCCCTTAGCTCTTGTGAATCTGAAAGTCCCCAGGATGAATCTGGTTTTAATTATTTTAATTATATTGTTTATATGTTATTGTTTTTTTAAATTGTGTTTTAGTTTGTAATCTTTGTTTATGCTGAGCTTGTTCCCTATGTTAGCTGCCTTGAGTCCCTTCAGGGGATATAAAATTATTATTATTATTATTATTATTATTATTATTATTATTATTATTATTCTATATGTTGTGCCTGCTACAGTTAAACATAGCAAACCACTTATGGTATGAATGTGCTGTCCGCTTCCCACCCATCATATTTTCCTCAAGGCTTGCACTGAAATGGTGATGCCCATGTGTGCCGATGGAGTCAATGACATGTTTGAGCCTCAGAAGTGGGACTTCCACACCTATTCGGAAGAATGTTTCAAGAACTGGGGAGTGCGGCCACGTCCATCTTGGATCCCGACTTTCTATGGGGGGAAGAACATCAGTGCCCACAGCAACATCATCTTCAGGTGAGCACGATAGTGTGTGATTGTTCGGTCGCCGCTGGGCCTGTAATTAGTTGACTTTAAAGACAGGATGTGTAACCTTTGCCCAGCGGGAAGCCAGGGGCCTAAGGAGAAGTTCTCAGAGTTTTCCACCACAAAGAGTCTTCAGATGGCTTGAGAAGTGCAACAAAGTCTTTTATTAATGAACACTCAAACAAGAACTTCTCTTATCTTCAGTAAAGTTAAGCAAATGATTCCAAACTTTTAGGGAACTGGTGAATTCCTAATCTTGCCCACAAAGGACAGGCAACTGACTTCAATAACTTTTTCTTTAAAGGAAAATCCCCTTTTTAACTTCTCCCAGGCTGACTGAAATCCAACCCTCACTGATGTGGGCTCCACTACCGGGCCGAACTGCTTCTCGAATGCCGAGTGGACCTACCAGCAAGGCAGTGGATGTTCTCCAGCTGGAGTTCTTTAGTCTTTTAGGCTGTTTCCCTGGAAATTCTTAAAGCTGTGGGAATGCTTTCCTGGAGTTCTTAAAGGTTGAAGCTTTTGTACAGGGGAAGTTACACACATCCTATACATAAGCTATCTTGGCTGAGACTAACTAACAAAATGGCTCACTTCCCTTCCCAATTACCCTGAGCAAGGGGCACGACCAAAACTTAATGATGATGGACAGGTGGCCTGCCCTATGACTGCAGCCAAAAGAAGCCACCTATCTGCAGAGTCCCTGAAACTTAGGACTACAAACAAACATTCAATGCAAAGCAACAAAATTGGAGCTCCTGGTACAGCTGTACCAGAACAGTGATGTTCACGTCAACTAGGTATCTGTTGTCCAGTGGGGTGGGATGCTGTTTTCTTGCACCAGCTCTGAGTTGTTTGGGAGAAAGGCAGGGTATAAATAAAGGGATGGATAGAAATTGCCTTCCTGTAGCCCAGTGTTGTCTTCTCTTCATGGCAACAGCTCTCCAGGATTTAAGGCAGAGGCATCTCCCATGTTCTATTTACTTGACTCTTGTAAAAGGAGCTGCAAGGCAGCAAACATGGACATTTTGCATGTAAAACTTGTGTCTACTACTACAATTGAAATTTTACACCAAATGCCCTTCTGCTCACTTGGCATAGTTCATTGACTTATATATCGCTCTAAGCTGCCTTAAGTCCCCTGAGGGATGAGAAAAGCCGGGTAAAAATGAAGTAAATGAAGTAAATAAAGTAAATAAATATAAATGGGGGAACAGGCCCTTTTCCTGCAATGTAGGGAGTCTTAGGCAGGGCCCAACAATTCTTGCCTCCCACCTTTATGGTAAATACTGTTATGAATAGATTGAATGAATTGTATGTTTGAGGTCTGGCTTTATTTATTTATTTAAATTTATTTATTTATTTACTATATTTGTATACCGCCCTTCTCAGCCTGAAGGCGACTCAAGGCGGTTTACAGTCGGCAACAATTCAGTGCCCCAATACCATAAAATACAATTAAAAACATTAGCATATAAGATCAAACCATAGCAAGATCAATAAAAACATATATCGTCAGCGTCTCCTTGTTAAAAACATTATCCAGTTATATCTCCCAGTTGTTCCGTTATCCTATGTATGCTTGTTACACTGCATTTGCGGATGCTTGCACCGGGATTGTGGCGCAGCTGACTGAGTGTCAGCTGCATTGAGATCTCTTCTGACCACAAGGTCATGAGTTCGAAGCCAGCACGGGTCAGAGTGAGCATCTGACCAGTTGTGTAGCTTGTTGCCGACCATTGCAACCCAAAAGACAGTTGCATCTGTCAAGTAGGAAATTTAGGTACCACCTATGTGTGGGGAGGCTTATTTAACAAAATTTACGAGGCATAAAAAGTCTCCAGCAATGCACTCCAGCAAAAAAGCATGCGGGGAATGCAGAAGTACTTCATCAGTGTCACAGATGGATGATGAAAGCGACAGCTCCCCTGGCGGCCAGAAAAAGTTAAATAGCTTCTGACTGTCTTGTCTATGTTGTGTGTCTTGGCATTGAATATTTGCCATATATGTGTACATTGTAATCCGCCCTGAGTCCCCTGCGGGGTGAGAAGGGCGGAATATAAATACTGTAAATCAATAAATAAATAAAAAGCCAAGGGACATATCTGCGACGAAGGTGGGATGGAGAGCAGGGCCTCCCCAGATGATCTTAAAGTCCTAGATGGTTCATAAGGAGAGAGGTGTTCGGACAGGTAATTTGGGCCGAAACTGTAAAATACTGTCAATAGATGGCTATCCAGCTTCTTTTTAAGACCTCCAAAAAAGAGAGTCCACCACTTACCAAGGCAGGCTGTTCTTCTGTTGGATAGCCCTTATAGACAAGACATTCTGGAAGAGCCTTCACAGTAGGGCCCCATCTCTGAAAAGCCACAGTGATGGGAATTTTAGAGATTTTCCTAAGATGGCTGATGTTGTGTTTCTTCTGCTTCCTTCCAGCAACGGTGGGCTTGACCCCTGGTCCGGAGGTGGAGTCACAAAGAACATCACCAACACTCTGGTGGCCGTCGTGATCCCGGAAGGCGCTCATCACTTGGACCTTCGCTCCAATACGCCTTTCGATCCAGATTCCGTCCTGCAAGCTCGCCTCTTGGAAGTTCACTACATGAGGCTGTGGCTGCAGCAGTACCGTCAAAGATCTCATAGGCATCCGAAATAACGAAAGACTCTGGGATGTTTGTAATGGTTTTTCCCACCAGTGATGTCACTGGATGTAATCCTCAGTGTGGCTTGCCTCACAAACATTCTCGATCTCTCCTTTCCTCTCTCCTTCTTCTGTTCCAAGCCTCTGTTTGAGCCATCTGGTTCAATGAAGAATGTTTGAAGAAGCAGATATAAGCCCTTCCAGGGCTCTGATGCCAGTTGCATCACTGAGTCTTTGCACAGTCATTTCCTAGTTGAGCTCAGGGGCTGAAACATATTTACAGGGGAATGGGGAAGCAGGTACCTTCCCCCCTGTCTCACATGTGTACATGGCTTATTTACAAAATTTATTGCAATAGGATATTTGGGAGTCATGGTATTAGTGGCTTTAAAAGGAAATTAGACAAAAAATGCAATCAGCTGATGGGTCTCCAACCCTGTAGTACATCTGTTGTGGGACTGTTGCTCCCATTATCTTCATCATAGGACATGCCACTGTCCAAATCTGATGGGAGTTGGAAGTCCAGCAATATCTAATTGTGGAGAGGTTGTCCACTATGATAGCTGCCTATAATAGTTGTGATACACTCTGAATGTCATCTCTTGAGGAAGCAACACAGTAACTGGAGGATGCTGTCTCTAGGAAGCTCTGAGGCAAGACATAGAGCATCTGGCGGGTCTAATCATCTGGTAGATCTTTGGATTTAAGCAGGAGACTTAGATTCACAGAGTTGGAAAAGACCCAAAGCGATAGCCAGTCCAATCCCCATTCTGCCATGCAGGATTACATAATCAAAGCACTCCCAAAAGATGGCCAGAAGAGGAGGCTCTTCCACACTCCCAGGCCACTTAAATCTATGGGTGGTTAGGACATAGTAATATTTCAAGGGCAGAAGGACAAGCAGAGAACTTCCTTTATGTCTGTATTTAAGGGAACCAAAGGCACTGAAACTGTGAAATCTATTTTGCCACAAATTGAGACCATTGGAGTTTTCTCTCTTTATTTGGAATGCTGCATTTCAAGTATTCTGTTTTTAGGAAGTGGGTTTTGTTTTCCCACCGAGACCCGACGAGGCCGCATTGCCCTGTATATGGCAGGTGTGGACCTCCCAGCTTCCTGGTTGCCAATAAATGGAAATGCAGGAGGGAGATCAGGGTGGGCAGTGTGGCCCACAGGCTTTGTATGGTCTGCTATTTATGCATCTGGAAAAGGTCCACTAGAAGTGGACAGAGAGGGAGGAAGGAAGGGAGGGAGGGAGGAGAATAGGAAGAAAACAAACTCAAGAACAATAGACTGTTGACAGCCTGCAGGTCTGGTTTACCTTCCATCTCAACTCTATACAAGATGCAACAACTAGCAACAGGCTTCTAGTCAATTTGTCCCATTAATTCCTTTACCAAAGGATCTTTTGATTGAACCACGCTTTTGTGTCTATCTTGCTTTTCTTTTTTCTAAGTCAGCAAATTCTGTGGACTACATAGGTGGGATAGTTTCGCTAACATCAGACATTCTGACACTTTTTGGGTAAGCTTCTTGGCATTCAAATCACAGTATCCCTCCTGCTTTTCATTCCGCAAACACTTTGAATTCAGCTTTTTTGGGTGTGGTGTTTCACAGCACCATTGCAGGGATTCTATGACATGCTTTCTGTATTTGCTCAGGAAAATGCTGTATTTTATTTCTAAACCGTATACTGCTCCTTCTTACTGCCTGCCATAGCAGGAACAACAAAAAATAAATCATCATGTATTCATCCTGTTGTGATTTGCATTTTTTGATTGTGTGAAATAATAATAATAATAATAATAATAATAATAATAATAATGGTAGGTAAAGGTAGTCCCCTGACATTAAGTCCAGTCATGTCTGACTCTGGGGTGTGGTGCTCATCTCCTTTTCTAAGCCGAAGAGCCAGCGTTGTCCGTAGACACTTCCAAGGTCATGTGGCCGGCATGACTGCATGGAGTGCAATTACCTTCCTGCCGGAGCGACCTATTGATCTACTCACATTTGCATGTTTTCAAACTGCTAGGTTGGCAGAAGCTGGCTGACAGCGGAAGCTCACGCCGCTCCCTGGAATCGAACCCTGCGACCTTTCGATCACAAGCTCAGCAGCTCAGTGCTTTAACCCACTGCGCCACGGGGGCATGGTTAAATAAACAAAAACATTTCAATAATTATGTAACTACACAATTTCTCTTACCTGCATCCATCTCTTCTCTTTCTATGTGTGTGCGCGCGAACATATATACAGAGAGAGCTGAGTGAAAAATGTAGGACACAGCCACCACCCAAATGGGTAGTATGTCAAAAACATAACAAATTTCAATGTATTGTCAAAGGCTTTCATGGCCAGAATCACTGTGTTGTTGTAGGTTTTTTGGGCTGTATGGCCATGTTCTAGAGGCATTCTCTCCTGACGTTTCGCCAGCATCTATGGCAAGCATCCTCAGAGGTAGTGAGGTCTGTTGGAACTAGGAAAAAGCATATAAAAATACGTTATCATAATGTAAACCTACAATAGACATTTATTATCTGTTCAAATATGTTATTTTGTTTTTACTCAGCTGTGTGGTGTTTTTATGTCAGAGGGCTTCTTCCTGGCCTGGCCTGCAACATTTAGCTTATAAAACCCTAAACAGTTCCAGCCCAGTTTACCTGTGTGAACATATCTTCCTCTACGAACCACCAAGGACGTTAAGATCATCCGCTTTGGTTAGACCACACCTGGAATATTGTGTCCAGTTCTGGGCACCACAATTCAAGAGAGATATTGTCAAGCTGGAATGTGTCCATAGGAGGGCAACTCAAATGATCAAGGGTCTGGAGAACAAGCCCTATGAGGAGTGGCTTAAGGAGCTGGGCATGTTTAGCCTGAAGAAGAGAAGGCTGAGAGGAGATACGATAGCCATGTATAAATATGTGAGAGGAAGCCACAGGGAGGAGGGAGCAAGCTTGTTTTCTGTTTCCTTGGAGACTAGGATGCGGAACAATGGCTTCAAACTACAAGAGAGGAGATTCCATCTGAACAAGAGGAAGAACTTCCTGACTGTGAGAGCCGTTCAGCAGTGGAACTCTCTGCCCCGGAGTGTGGTGGAGGCTCCTTCTTTAGAAGCTTTTAAACAGAGGCTGGATGGCCATCTGTCAGGGGTGATTTGAATGCAATATTCCTGCTTCTTGGCAGGGGGTTGGACTGGATGGCCCATGACGTCTCTTCCAACTCTTTGATTCTATGATTCTATGGGATGCCCTGCTCTCGGTCCCACCTCCTTCCCAGTCATGACTGGTGGGGACAAGAGACAGTGCCTTCTCCGTGGTGGCCCCTCGGCTGTGGAACTCTCTCCCCAATGATATTAGATCTGCCCCCTCTCTCCTTACCTTTCGGAAAAAACCCTCAAATCCTGGCATTGGGATCAAGCGTTTGTGCAATAAATGGATCAACTGGGAAAAGAATGATTTAGTGGACCACAATGGACTGATTTGGATTATGTTTTGAACCAGCAAACTGTTTTTAATTGAATGCTTATAATTGTTTTAATTGTGTTAATTGTAACTGTGTTTTAATGTAAATCATCATCCTCTTCCACCCGGAGGATCACAATACTGGAGCAAAAGCTGCTCCTCTCTCCCAAGTTTCTGTTGCTTTCTGTCTCCTGCTTCCATTTGGGAAAAAAAGTCTGTCTTGGTTGCATCTCCTGAGTCTATAAAAGGAGGGAGGCACCAAAACATTGAACCCCAGGCTGGCAAATCCCTTCCGTTTGTCTTGTTTCCGTAATATATGCGACCCCTTTGGGTGGTGTAAGCAGTTTAGATATTGGTCATAAAGGGGACGGTGGTATCTTTTAATGACAAAACTAATGTGATTAGCCAAGTGAATGTGAGAAGGGGGCATTGAAGGCTTCAAGGAAATCTGTTAGAATAGCTGAATGTATTGGCTTAATCCTCTCTCTAATGTGGGGGGACAATGCCCTGGAAAGCAATTCCCCTTTCTTCCTGGGAGCAAATGCTTACAGAGCGAGACAGAGCCTTCAGCTTCTAAAAAAATGCTTTTAGTACCCCACTTTTTTATTTAAGGGAAAAGAACTCAAGAAAGGAGTGTGAATGCTCTAAAAAGAAATGTGAAAACAACAACTCATAAAGGCATACTTGAGATAACCACTTGGTTTGTCCTTCCGTGCTCAACAACTCAAAATATAGTAGACTCTCCATTAGCCAGCACCATGGAGATTGGTAGATGCCAGAAAAATTGAGATTTTGGTTGCCTGAGAATTACTATTAAATATTGGTCTAATTACAGTGTTTCTCAACCTTCCGAATGCCATGACTCCTTAATACAGTTCCTCATGTTGTGCTGACCCCTAACCATAAAATTATTGGGTTGTTGTAGGTTTTTTCGGGCTATATGGCCATGGTCTAGAGCAATGGTTCTCAACCTTGGGTCCCCAGATGTTTTTGGCCTTCAACTCCCAGAAATCCTAACAGCTGGTAAACTGGCTGGGATTTCTGGGAGTTGTAGGCCAAAAACATCTGGGGACCCAAGGTTGAGAACCACTGGTCTAGAGGCATTCTCTCCTGACGTTTCGCCTGCATCTATGGCAAGCATCCTCAGAGGTAGTGAGGTCTGTTGGAACTAGGAAAAAGAGGTTTATATATCTGTGGAATGACCAGGGTGGGACAAAGGACTCTTGTCTGCTGGAGCTAGGTGTGAATGTTTCAACTGACCACCTAGATTAGCATATAATGGCCTAACATTCAGACCTAGCTCATAGAATCAAAGAGTTGGAAGAGACCTCATGGGCCATCCAGTCCAACCCCATTCTGCCAAGAAGCAGGAATATTGCATTCAAATCACCCCTGACAGATGGCATCCAGCCTCTGTTTAAAAGCTTCCAAAGAAGGAGCCTCCACCACACTCCGGGGCAGAGAGTTCCACTGCTGAACGGCTCTCACAGTCAGGAAGTTCTTCCTCATGTTCAGATGGAATCTCCTCTCTTGTAGTTTGAAGCCATTGTTCCATTGCGTCCTAGTCTCCAGGAAAGCAGAAAACAAGCTTGCTCTCTCCTCCCTGTGGCTTCCTCTCACATATTTATACATGGCTATCATATCTCCTCTCAGCCTTCTCTTCTTCAGGCTAAACATGCCCAGCTCCTTAAGCCGCTCCTCATAGGGCTTGTTCTCCAGACCCTTGATCATTTTAGTCGCCCTCCTCTGGACACATTCCAGCTTGTCAACATCTCTCTTGAATTGTGGTGCCCAGAATTGGACACAATATTCCAGGTGTGGTCTAACCAGGGCAGAATAGAGGGGTAGCATTACTTCCCTAGATCTAGACACTATGCTCCTATTGATGCAGGCCAAAATCCCATTGGCTTTTTTTGCCGCCACATCACATTGTTGGCTCATGTTTAACTTGTTGTCCACGAGAACTCCGAGATCTTTTTCACACATACTGCTCTCGAGCCAGGCATTGTCCCCCATTCTGTATCTTTGCATTTCGTTTTTCTGCCTAAGTGGAGTATCTTGCATTTGTCCCTGTTAAACCTCATTTTGTTAGTTTTTGCCCCTCTCTCTAATCTGTCAAGATTGTTTTGATTTCTGCTCCTGTCCTCGGGAGTATTGGCTATCCCTTCCAATTTGGTGTCGTCTGCAAACTTGATGATCCTGCCTTCTAGCCCTTCATCTAAGTCCTTAATAAAAATGTTGAACAGGACCGGGCCCAGGACTTCTCAAAGTGCTCAAATCAGTATTTATTTACCGTGTCATCCGCAACCAGAACATTGTATTACATTTCTAACAGAACAAAACAAACAAACAGATAAAATAAGAAAAACACAAATTTTGCAAACTTGGTAGCTGATTAAATGTCCTTTGACCAGTATCTGGCCACTTGGAGTGCTTCTGGTGTTGCCGCAAGAAGGTCCTCCATTGTGCATGTGGCAGGGCTCAGGTTGCATTGCAGCAGGTGGTCAGTGGTTTGCTCTTCTCCACACTCGCATGTCGTGGATTCCACTTTGTAGCCCCATTTCTTAAGATTTGCTCTGCATCTCGTGGTGCCAGAGCGCAGTCTGTTCAGCGCCTTCCAAGTCGCCCAGTCTTCTGTGTGCCCAGGGGGGAGTCTCTCATCTGGTATCACCCACGGATTGAGGTGCTGGGTTTGAGCCTGCCACTTTTGAACTCTCGCTTGCTGAGGTGTTCCAGCGAGTGTCTCTGTAGATCTAAGAAAACTATTTCTTGATTTAAGTCGTTGACGTGCTGGCTGATACCCAAACAAGGGATGAGCTTGAGATGTCTCTGCCTTGGTCCTTTCACTATTGGCTGCTACTTCCCGGCGGATGTCAGGTGGTGCAATACCGGCTAGACAGTGTAATTTTTCCAGTGGTGTACTCAAATCAGTAGACCCTTCATTTTCGAATCAAATGAAGTTGTTTTGATGTAAGATGGTATTGGTTGAGTTCATTCTTCCCCTTTTCACCTCATGTTCCAAATGTAAAGTCCTATGTCATAGGAAGCCACGACTTTCAGGATGTCTCCTGCATCTTATTCCCTGAACGGCCTAATCTTCACGCCAAAACATACCGCTAAGCATCGAGGCAGCAGGAGGTGCGCACTTAATAAACGGAGGTGCTTGAGTTATTGTGGTAACCTGCTGCAAATCCTAGGTCAGCGAGTAATTTACAGAAAAAGGACCTGATGTCAGTCGAGAACAATCCTGGCTGCCGAGGCCTCGAATGTCTACAAGCTCCTGCTGCTCAT